CTGACTGTCCTGTCATATCATCAACATCTCTTCTGGTTAGCTCCTTTGGCTGCTTTATAAAACTTAGTTTTATATAGACTCCTTGAGAGTATTCATTATGCTTATCAACCACTTGAACTCAGAGGTATTGATATTGGCGGTAGGCTCTTCACCTCTTAGCAACCATCAAATCACTATTATGTTTTCTTTTTTAAAGTTATTATACTTTGAGTTCTGGGATACATATGCGAACGTGCAGGTTTGTTACATAGGTATGCACATGCCATGGTGGTTTGCTGCACCCATCAACTCATCGTCTACATTAGGTATTTCTCCTAATGTTATTCCTCTCCTGGCCCCCCACCCCCAGACAGGCCCTGGTGTGTGACGTTCTGCTATCTGTGTCCATGTGTTCTCATTGTTCAACTCTCACTTATGAGTGAGAACATGTGGTGTTTAGTTTTCTGTTCCTGTGTTAGTTTGCTGAGAATGATGGTTTCCAACTTCATCCATGTCCCTACAGAGGACATGAACTCATCCTTTTTTATGACTGCATAGCATTCCATGATATGTAGGTACAACATTTTCTTTATCCAGTCTGTCACTGATGGGCTTTTGGGTTGGTTCTAAGTCTTTGCTATTGTGAATAGTGCTGCAATAAACTATACGTGTGCATGTGTCTTTATAGTAGAATGATTTATAATCCTTTGGGTATATACCCAGTAATGGGATGGCTGGGTCAAATGGTATTTCTGGTTCTAGATCCTTGAGGAATCACCACACTGTTTACCACAATGGTTGGACTAACTTATACTCTCACCAACAGTGTAAAAGCATTCCTGTTTCTCCACATCCTCTCCAACACCTGTTTGTTTCCTGACTTTTTAATGATCACCATTCTAACTGGTGTTAGATGGTATGTCATTGTGGTTTTGATTTGCATTTCTCTGATGGTGAGTGATGATGAGCATTTTTTCATGTGTCTGTTGGCTGCATAAATGTCTTCTTTTGATAAGTGTCTGTTCATATCCTTTGCCCACTTTTTGATGGAGTTTTTTTGATTTTTTCTTGTAAATTTATTTGAGTTCTTTGTAGATTCTGGTTATTAGACCTTTGTCAGATGGATAGATCGGAAAAATTTTCTCCCATTCTTTAGGTTGCCTGTTCACGCTGATGATCGTTTTCTTTGCTGTGCAGAAGCTCTTTAGTTTAATTAGATGCCATTTGTCAATTTTGGCGTTTGTTGACATTGCTTTTGGTGTTTTAGTCATGAAGTCATTGCCCATGCCTGTGTCCTGAATGGTATTGCCTAGGTTTTCTTCTAGAGTTTTTATGGTTTTAGGTCTTATATTAAGTCTTTAATCCATCTTGAGTTAATTTTTATATAAGGTGTAAGGAAGGGGTCCAGTTTTAGTTTTCTGCATATGGCTAGCCAGTTTTCCTAACAACATTTATTAAATAGGGAATCCTTTCCCCATTTCTTGTTTTTGTCAGGTTTGTCAGAGATCAGATGGTTGTAGATGTGTGGTGTGATTTCTGAGGACTCTGTTCTGTTCCATTGGCCTATATCTCTGTTTTGGTACCAGTGCTATGATGTTTTGGTTACTGTAGCCTTATAGTATAGTTTGAAGTCAGGTAGTGTGATGCCTCCAGCTTTGTTCTTTTTCCTTAGGATTGTCTTGGCTATACGGGCTCTTTTTTGGTTCCATATGAAATTTAAAGTAGTTTTTTTCCATTTCTATGAAGAAAGTCAGTGGTAGCTTGATGGGGATAGCACTGAATCTGTAAATTTGGGGGCAGTACTGCCCATTAATGGGATTACTCAGTCAAGTGATATTTCTGGTTCTAGATCCCTGAGGAATTGCCACACTGTCTTCCACAATGGTTGAACTAATTTACACTCCCACCAACAGTGTAAAAGCATTCCTATTTCTCCACAACCTCTCCACCATTTGTTGTTTCCCATTATTTTGGATAGTATGGCCATTTTCATGACATTGAGTCTTCCTATCCATGAGCATGGAATGTTTTTCCATTTGTTTGTGTCCTTTCTTGTTTACTTGAGCAGTAGTTTGTAGTTCTCCTTGAAGAGATCCTTCACATCCCTTGTAAGTTGTATTCTTAGGTATTTTATTCTGTTTGTAGGAATTGTGAATGGGAGTTCACTCATGATTTGGCTCTCTGTCTATTATTGGTGTATAGGAATGCTTGTAATCGAATCACTATTATGTTTTCACATAGACAACTTTAAGAAGTTAGGCTTACATAGGTTTTATTTGAACATTAATTATTACACTATGTGAAGACAGTGCTGTAAAATTTTTTATGCCAGCTATGTATGGGAATACATAATTAAGTTGTTACAGTAATAACATAGATATTAAAGACATCATTTCAAGTAGGGACTTTATAACATTTCCTTGTGGTATAAATGTTTCATCTTATTCCACATGAAACCTGCTTTGTGATATAGATTTAATTTTTATTAAAAAATTGTTTGCATTTTCATTTAATGGAAGCTGTAATTATTAAACCTAAAACTACTTAAGACACTTGTTTATGATAAGATTTGAAAATATTTATACATACAAATTCATTTATTTCAGTATTTGTTCAGCAAAAATTCATGTTGTTTTGGCTATGGTAATGTTAAACTCTCCTTAGGTAGAACTATTTTTTCTTGGAAAATGTTTTGGTTCAAATATATTTTTAAAAGTCAGAACAGGGATAAACCAAAGCTGTACTAAGATGGCTACTTAGAAGGAGTTATAACTTCAAACAAAAAAATGTTATAGGGAGAAGTTTGGCAACCAAAAGAGATGCTTTTATATTTCACTCTGTTGGGAAAAACTATACATAAACAAATACAGCCTGTTTCATTTGATAAATCAATAGCTGAAGTTATTGTTATATCAGAAGGAGAACTAGACATCTGTAACTTATGGCCTAATTGTGATCATCAGGGAGAAAACTGATTGGCAAAGTAGAATATTGAGAGAAATCAGTATATAATTTCTGAGTTTATTATAGCCAAGGAGGGCAGTGCTATAGGGATTTGAATGCATATTCTAATTTAGACATTAGAAGAGGAGCCTTCAAAAAGCTCTGCAGAAAAAAATAGGTATTTATGTTTCAAGAGGAATGGAAAGATCTTTTTGTAAACAACTATGGGCAATATACCTGTTAGTGATCCTGATGAGCAGGAGATGGAAAAATGGCTAAAGGGAGTGCTTTGACTAACTAATACAGTTATGTGTCACTTAATGATGGGGATAAATTCTGAGAAATGTGTTGTTAGGCAATTTTGTCATAGATTGTATTTACACCAACCAGTATGCACCTAGGCTATAGGGTATAGCCTATTGCCCCTGTACAGCATGATACTGTGCTGAAGGCTGTAGGCAGTTGTAACACAATAGTATTTGTGTACCTAAACATAGAAAAGGTACAGTAAAAATGTGGTATTATAATCTCACAGGACCACTGTCATAGATGTGGTCCTTCATTGGCCAAAATGTTGGTATGTGGTTCATGACTGTATTTTAAGTACACAAAAATGTTTGTAACCATAGCCATAAGGAAATGTGATGACAGCAAGATAGGGAGCTTGAATAATTAAACACACACCATATATTTTTGATACATTATATATGCAATAATTGCTAAAGGCATTTAAAAACAAAATTCAACAAAACAGCATGTTCAAACTATGAAAGGTACACAAAGCCAAGGACATTGCTCAAATCAGTAAAATATAATACCAGAAAGACTAAATCTCAGAAAGAGATGAGATATGGAAAAGTCTCAAATGACACAAAATAGCTGTCTACTTTTATATGTGAATTCATGTATGTGTACATATTTGGGTGTTTTAGGTAGGCAAATATATATATATATATATATGTATATGTAACAAATATGTTCTCTTTTTTAACATTCTTCTGTCTAAATATGAATATTAAATATCCACGTGGAGCTAAAACATTGGGAGCATAAACATCTCAAAAGCTTAATGCACTGCTTCAGAAGATAGTGTTTTGTTTTGTTTTGTTTTGTTTTGTTTTGTTTTTGAAACAGAGTCTCCCTCTGTCACCCAGACTGGAGTGCAGTGGCGTGATCTCAGCTTACCGCAACCTCTGAACCCTGGGTTCAAGCAATTCTTTCACCTAAGCCTCCCAAGTAGCTGGGATTACAGGCATGCTCCACTACACCCAGCTAATTTTCATATTTTTAGTGGAGTTGGGTTTCACCATGTCAGCCAGGCTGGTCTTGAATTCCTGACCTCAAGTAATCCGCCCGCCGCCTCGGCCTTCCAAAGTGCTGGGATTACAGGCGTGAGCCACTGCACCTAGCCGATAGTGTATTTTTAATGGATGACAGAGAATAAGACAACTCTCTTTCTTTCTCTCTCTCTCTCTCTCTTTTTTTTTTTTTTTGGTAAAGGGCTTTTAAAACAATATTTAAAAAACAAAACCATGAGGGTATTAAACATAAAGGAAATATCCAGCAAAACTGAAAATGGTCCAAGCTTCTGGAAACACCGTTTTTTATACCTTGTTCTTTAAACCACAGAACAGTCTCTTCTCTCCTTCTCTTCCCCACTACACCAAAAGGGACGAGACACAAATCTGTGCCAGGGGTCTCAATCTGGAGGTAGCACTCCTCATCATCATCACTTCATTTTATAATTATTTTATTCTTAGACTTACCGAATGCTAAACAAGTAAAAAGAATGTTTTAGTTTTTTTCCCAATTTGTCAATAATAAATTATTGTTAAGATATTTATTTTCATTTATCATATAGCCTAGAGCATATGATTAGTCTACATTCTATCTTGAAAAAGCAAAAATTTTCATAAGCTGTAATAGCTAAAGAGAAATTAAAATCCATCGTACTATTTAAAATGTTGAATTGTTACAAATAGAGGATACTTGGATGCTGTATTAAATAATAAATAAACCACAAAACTCAGTGGCTTAACACAAGTGTGTATGTGCGTTTGTTTTTTTTAATTGAGCAGCTCTCATTTATCTTATTGACATCACTTGGAAAAGTTTTCAACATTGACAAGAGAAGAAGAGAGTCAAAGGCTCACTTGGGATGATGTTAAGGGCAGGCCTGGAAGAAGCACACATCACTTTCACCCGTGTTCCACTGGCCAGACCCTAGCCACTTGACCCCCATCTAACTGCAGGGGAGGCTGGGAAATGTATACGAGCTTGTACATATTTGGTGAGTGTTGTTTCTGTCATAGACTGTTAAATTAGTCAGATGAATGTTTATTGCAAACAGTGTGCATGGGACTTTTCTAGGCACAGGGCTGAATATGAAGATGAATAAGTCACGGCTTCTTCACCCAAGTGGATCATAATCCAGCACTCATTGTAGACTATAGCTTATATTTAGTTTTAGATTCTCAAAACAAATTCATTGCCTATTCTTAGTGTTATGAGACTAATAACTATTTTTTAAAACAGCCAAGCAATTTATATCTACCATCTGTATCGGTTAGAATTTAGGCAAGAAACAGATGGCACATTCAAATTAGGTAATTTGAAGAGAGCTAAATAAAGGGACTGTGTAAAGGTGTGGGCTGGACCTAGAAGGGAAACTACAATGTATAGGAAACCACCACAAATGCAATACTGGAAGGATGACAACAGCATGTCTTTGCCATTTCCAGTGCTGAAACAGTGAGGGGGAAGAAGTGGTTTCTGGGATGTAGAGACAGAGTTGTGACCTTGGGCCAGTGGGAATAGCCTTCTTCCCATTTGACCTTGCAAGAAGAGAGCCAACAAAATAAATTACCTAATGTTACTGTCCTTGTTCCTTCTGGTCTCCTGTAGGTATTGCCTATTAGCTGAATCCCACTGGAAGCCAGAGGGCAAGGGAGCCTGTTGATGTAATTTATGTAGGTTACCTTTCTGGGCCAGGGGTCAGAAAGGTTGATCTTTGATCTGGAGAAGCAAATAGCACACCATCCTAAAATGTTTTTCATCTATTTGGCCAATATGGAGGCCCTGCTAATTGCAAAGCTCTAAATAGTATAAGACATACACAAAAGACATGTCTTTTTTTTCAGGGATCTTGCTCTCCAGTGTGGGAGAAGAGACCACCAACAAAAACAAAATTTAAAGATAAGTCTCTGGAAGATTTGTGTTTAGGCAGTGATTGGGTGCCACATGGACTGTTAGATGAAGTGAAAGTTGTATCGTTCAAAAAAAGGAAGAGATTCATGTGCACACAAATTGTTAGGGAAGGCTTTGTAGAAAAAACAAAACTTGAACTTGGCTATAAAGGGTTGACGGTTTTTGTAGATAGAGAGGAGGGCAGTCACACATGTGTATAACTGGCTCAAAGTACAATGAGTGTAGAGTCTAGATGAAGGTGGAAACTCATACAAAGTTAGAGATTTTTGAAATAATTTGAGGTCAGACTTTAGAAGGTCATAAGGAGAAATCTCAGGGTTTGTGCTTTTTAAAAACTGTCCTAATGTTCTGGGAGAGTTTACAAGGTGCCATGTGGTAAAAGTGTCCATGCAATGAAATAAATTTATAAAATGCATACTTTCCAACCCTTGGATGTATGCAATGAGTATTCAACTTATTAAAAGCTCCAAAAAAGCTTGCTATAAAGAAACCACTTTTTCCATTTATCTACACTTGGCGAAAGAACCCATCCCCTTTCCCCTACTCCCTTTTAAAAATCAAAACACGCTAAAAATCATATGAAACTTCAGTATTCTATAAAACATATTTTGGGAAATGTTTCTATAAATAATGGGAAGCCTTTGAATAGTTCTGAAGGAGTTATGATACAATTAGAGGGGTATTTTAGGGTATCATTCTGACAAGATGGATTTTAGTGCACATGATCATTTAAGAACAATTGTTATTGCAGTAATACAGGCACATGGTGCAAGTCTGAAGTGAAGGGTAGTAGTTGAGCTGCAAAAAATGCAGACTTGTGAGGGCCATTAGGAAAGACCTGACAGCATGACTTGGTGGTTGATTGAATATGGGTGATGGGAGGGACTGAATATGGGTGATGAGAGGAAGGGAGGGAGGGAGGGAGGGAAGGAATGAGGGGGGGAGGAGGGAGGGAGGGGGAGAGGGAGGGGGGGAGAGAGAGAGAGAGAGAGAGAGAGAGAGAGAGAAAGTCAGCGATGTTACAAACTATAACTTTAAGGCCTGGATCTTCCAGTTCTGTGGGAGTTTGTTAAACTGCAATCTATATTGTGCATAGATCATCAAAAATAAAATTATCTAAAAGACTTTTGAGAAGAACTAAGTGAAAGTATACAAAAGGCAACATAATGCCTATTCTGAAAAAGAGCGTAAGAGAATATGTCCTGCAAATAATTACCCTGGTATTAAAATTGATTGTGATTCAGAGACTTAGAAGAGACTTAGAAGAGCTGTGTTCTGACCAAACAAGGTTGATGGACCAGACCACTGGGACTGTAGCCAGCTCAAACTGTACTCATTGGTCACACCTATAAATATAGAACTTTTATTAATCCCATCCCCCAGAAAAAGAATTTTGGCACAGACCAGTTTACAGTAAGAGACAACTGTATCTTGTTTATTTGGGGTATTATTAGGAGTGATAATCTAAAGTCATTGCTAATTTTTATAGTATTTTTCTCTCTTACCTTTTAAACCAAAATCGAGTTAGGGACCAACTGCTTGCTTAATGTTTGGTTAGAGCCACATACTAAAAGAAACTGATTGGTGTTGGGTAAAGAGGTAAATGCTAAGTAAATCTTTTCAAAATTATTTGTTATTAAGTTATTATTAATCATCCGAAAGGGCTGAAAAAAACCAGTAACTCCATAACATTTGAGGTCATGTTTCCTAATTGATGCTCTCTTTGCAGCTATAACTTTTTTTTTCATTTCATTTTATATGCTTGCTGTCATTTGCCCATTTCTCTTCTTTGCATGAATGCTTTTTTGTTTATCTTCTATATTGTGTTTTTATTTATAGAAGACAAAGTACAATGTGATACTTCTTCATTATTACTTGCTAAATTCCTTGTTTAAATGGTAAGTCCCTATTTTAATATAGTTTTGGGGATAACTTTACTGAAATATTCAGTGCTTATATTTTCAGTTTTGAATTTATTCATATTGTGACAGTAATTGGTAGAAAACTGTTTCTCACAGCTGACAGGCCAAAAAAAAAAATAATAAATAAAAAAGCTTGAGGACAAAGCTACCACATGCCGGAGTGCTGAGGACCCATCAGATATTTAAGGAAGTGGCATTTGTACTCGCATTATTTAAGCTACTGTTGAAAAAAAGAGATAGGAAGAGACTATATTTGTAGCAAGCATATTATAGAATTCATTTTCTAAAAAATCATGTTTCTGAAGAATAGAACATCTATCAGATGTTTTATAAAGCACATATAACTAATAGATCATAGTTCTTCTCCAAAAGAACTGGAAACCATGAATGCTATGACATCTATCTTTTTCAGAATCCCAAAATTTAAAGAAATATTTCTGCTTCCTAGAAAATAATAATTAAGCCCAAATTTCAAACTGAATCTCAATCAATAGTTGTACCATTTTCTACCACAGAAATACTATTCAGTAAATGGTATAAGTAATGATATATAATGTATGCTTAACCTCTATTTTGCTGATTAACTTAGATCATTCTCAAACTGTGATTTAGGGGACCTCTGGTGTCTTTAAGAATCCCTCAGGTGGTGGGATAGCCAGTCATTAGTTTTAATGATTATGGCTGTATTTCTCTTCTTTCTGGCAATGATGAATAATTATGCTTAGTAAGAACCATACCATCTCATTGATTTCTCATCAAAGAAAACAAACATTGCCCTTAATTCTGATGAGGTATGCTGAACAAACAGGAATGGGTGGAACAGTCATCCCTACTTTATTTTATTTTTAATAGTTTATGAACTAAATTTTAAGGAGCCATTACTATAGATCAAGATACAATAACTCTTTAGAACTTTGAGGATATTCTATTAAATCATCTCAGATCCATTACAGAAATGAAGGCTTTTTAAGACTTTCTTAAGAAGTTGCTAAGTTATTGAACACTTGAACCTGAAGTTTACACAATCTGGCAAGTATTTTTTTTGTTCTTTTTCCTCATACATGGTCAAGATAGTGAGTTGAATAGTGTGCCCCCCAAAAATGTATGAGAGTGTGATCTTATTTGGAAATAGGGTATTTGCCTATACAGTTAAGATGGGGTCAGATTATGGTCGACTCTAAATCTAATGACTGGTATCTTTATAGGAAGAGGAGAGGACACGCACACACACACACAAGAAAGCTGAAAGCAGAGATTAGAGTAATGCAGCTACAAGCCAAGGAAGGCCAGGAGCCACTAGAAAAGTCAAAGAAAGATTCTTCCCTAGAGCCTTCAGAGGGCCTTCCCTCCCTATACTTTCATTTCAGACTTTAGCCTCCAGAACAGAGACAATGAATTTCTGTTGTTTTAAGTCGCCCAATTTGTGGTTCTTTGTCATGGCAACCCTAGGAAACCAAAATAGTCAGTATTCCTGAACATTCTCCCATAAACATATATTTTTTTGCCTATTTTTTTTTCAAATTTGTATCATTTACCAAGCTATGAAGTCCTTGAGAGCAGAACTGTGTCACACTTGTTCTATACCTAATTCAGAACTCCACAAATATTTATTAGTATATAACTGTGGGATAGTCTTATTTTTTAAGATTCACAGATATATTATTCATGAGAACACATGTTAGTTTTTATTAAGTATGCATATTAGAGAGAGACTGGAGTATAAATAACTGTAAGGATATTTTGTATGGAAAAAAATTGTAAATAATTACCAGGCTTGGGTTTCTATAGTTAGAAAAAGTAGAATAACTGTTGGTATCATGTTTATGTCCCATTCATATGAAAAATAAAATCCAAAGTGGGTTTTAAGTAAATGAAATCCCTAAGGGACTGTCAACCTGGATTATCCAGAGAATATTCAGTTTGTCACAATTTTGCTCCAATATTATAGAGCACAGCTGAAAATAATTGCTTAACTATCAAAATTCTATCCAAGGCACAGATCATTTATAAAGATTAACATTTAGTAAAAAGACTTAAAAATGTAATATAAAGTAACATGGTATTTTATGAAGAGCTAGTATTCAGAAGTAACGTCTAAGAGGATATATACAAATTTAAATTTTTTAAACTTTGAAAGATTAGATTATAGCCTACATTTCTGAGATATGAAAAATTACCATCAAGTAATATTCTTATCTCAATGTAAACATATTCTCCATTTACTAGTATAATTTTTATCTCTCTTTAATTAGAAGTAGTTTTATAAGTATTTGAATATTTTTGATTGAAGAGTTGAAATAGTACCAAGAGATGCTAATGACTATTTGAGGTGGTTATAGGTTGTTTTTTCACCTGTACCAATTTTTTTCGTGAATTTTAATATACAAAGATTCCCAATGTTGGTTTTAAATTCTTAGAGGCTAAGAGAGACTTAGTCTTAGAGAGATTGTAGGTAAGAAATATTAATTATTTAACTCATTACTGAGAATAGACCAATATTAGAATAAATGACTCAAGTTTAAAACTTGGCAGACTTAACTGTGTGACTCTTACAGTTACTGCAAGTAATAAATTATGAATTATAAGCAACATTTAGTTTATCCAACCAGGTGAATCAGCATCACTTGTAATGGTTAAATCTTTATGTGTCCATGGGCAGACATTCAAGTTATCTTCTACTAATAAGGAGAAAAGAGTCATTGTTCTTAGTTGGTAGGTGACATTTTTTCCCAGACATTTGTTCACCATATGTCTTAGAGGAAAGTGAAGATTTTAAGGGCTACTTATAATTATTTTCTCTCTGCTTTCCAATGATGCTTTCACATGCCATGAATCAATATAAAAATCCCCATCGCAGTCATGGGCAAACCAGGTGTGCTTCTTGAAGCCTGACAATTTTCCTGACATACCATGTGAGTGAATCATATGGGTAACATTTTTTATAATAAACTCCAATTTAAAATCCAGGTATGACCACATAGATTTCTCACTAATATGCTAGAGTCTTTTTTAGAATGTATTTGTACTTTTGGACTTAGAACTATTATTTTAAATACCTAAATTAGCACAGTAACTTTGATAGCACTGTTTTAGCCATAGGAGATTATTTAACCTTATTCAAAATTCATTGGTCCTTTATAAACAAATAATTCCATGATTATAATTTAAATTTTTTATAAACTCACATGCTCATTATTAGAGGGCCAGTTCCATAAATTATGGTACATTTACACAATGGATACAGCTGTAAAAAATAATGAAGATATGTTCTATGTATTTGTATGAAAAAAACTTCAACTATATTATTATGTAAAAAGGAAAAGTACAGAACAATTTGTAGAATAAACTATATGTGGAAAAACAAAAGGGGGGAAATTGTATGTACGTATTTGTGTGTAATATATATAGAGAGATATACATTTATATTGACTTTGTATGAATAAAAATAATCTGAGAAAGGATAAACTAATAAAGAGGGGTTGCCAGTTGTGTGTGTGCATGGATGGGAACTTAGCCGATGGGACTGCATGAGGGAGTTTTTTCATTATATACCATTTTATGCTTTATTCTTGAACCATGTGAATATATTAGTCCAAATTTAGACAGATAGATAGATAATGTTCTGTTTTTAAAACTACGGTGGTGAATTCTGTTTCACGAAAAATCCAGTAAACAGAAACCAACTTTAAAAATGGTTACATTCATTCAGACAATGGGATATTATTCAGTGCTAAAAAGAAATAAGCTATCAAACCATACAAAAACATGGGGAAACCTAAATGCATGTTACCAGAGGAAAGAAGCCAATCTGAAAAGGCTGTAATTCCACCTATATGACACTTCTGGAAACGGCCTAACTATGGAGATAGTAAAAAGATCAGTGGTTGGCCAGGTGCAATGGCTCATGCCTGTAATCTCGGCACTTTGGGAGGCCAAGGCAGGCGGATCACTTGAGGTGAGGAGTTCAAGACAAGCATGGCCAAGATGGTG